ATCATTCAAAACGGTTGATCCATATTTTCGAAATCGTGGACAAAAGTTTGTATCCAAACACACATGCACACAAACATCGGTTTTTCTAAGATGTGCCAAAACCTTTAGAAATTTTTGAAACGTAAATTTATATATCAAAATTTTCATTTTCGGTTACTATAACACACTCTACGGAAAGTTAATGAATAATAGTCATTTTAGGTTATTTTTTAAAAAAACATTTTTATCATGAAATTTAGGTATTTTATCATTTGTAATCCTGAATAAATGCTAAATATATAGAAATTTTTATTTGTCGATTTTTTGGTGATTACTATAACTTACTTATAATAGTCATTTTGAATTATTTTTAAAAAATTGGAATTTTCATTGTGAGACTTTATGTTATCATTTGTAATCCTGAATAAATGCTCCAAATTTCAGTGAAACTTACCTTAGTGCATTTTGTTTAAAGGAGGACCTCTCAAAGTTAAGATATTTAAACATTTTAAATTCATAGTTCAACAAAAAGTCTTGAAAATTTTAAGCATTTATTTTTGACAGTGGTCCTAGTAAAGTTATTTACGATTAGGGATCTAAAGTTCAAATAAACAAAATCAATAAAAATTAACCACAATAACTGAAAAATTGTTACACCAAAGCTCTAGGTTACCCTTAAAACTCATAATTTCCAAGCAATCTAGGATATTATTTTATCTTAGTTTCAGGACAATTATAGTCAATAATATTACACCGTTATCGCTTGACGTTGAGTTCTGCGACACCCTATATATATATATATATATATATATATATATATATATATATATGTATATACTCTACAATATGTTCTACAACGTTGAAACATATTCTTGAAATGTTTATTACCAGCCAAATAAATAATCGAAATAAAAATTAATAAATGATTAATCTATTCATTCAGTACATTTCGACTCGGTATGTGTGTCATCATTTAGCATATTTAACAAAATCTAAAAAAAGTTTTTTACAAAGTTTAAAAATAAATTCAATTTAATGTATTAGGTACAAAATTAGTAGTAGATATAACAAGTAGAAAACATATTATTTTAAGTTTCCAAAAAATTAAGCAATAAATAAAATATTTAAATAAAACTTAAACAATAATATTATGTAGTTGACAAGGGAAATAAGAATGCCAGGCGATTGTCCGAATAACAGCGACATAGAACGACGGGGTTCACAATACTTTATCCAGGTTCAACGATAGTTGAAAACAAGGATGGTCAAGCATAAAAATTTCTATGCATTCAACATGTCTCGATGATAAGAACTCTTATAAATCTTTTCATTTATTTTAATTTAATATTTAATTGATAAAACAATTGTTATATAAACATGTGTTATATTCATTAGTGTTCACATTGTTTCTGCTTTTTCTTTAATTATTTGTATGCACTGAGGGTTGGTCAAATCTAGAAACAAAACGTTTGCTACTGCAATAAAAACATTTTTTTATTAAAATTGTTTTAATTATTGGGTGGATGCCCAACAACGACTTCAATATATATATATATATATATATATATATATATACTAGCTGACCCGGCAAACGTGCCATAAAAAATATTTTTAGTATAAAATTCAAATTTTTTTCAAAAATCATAAATCTTTTTTTCTCGAATTTTCCATAAATATTGACGTTTATTATTTTAGTGTTTGGTTTGTTTTTTTAGAAAATATCTGTCAAAATTTTTTGAAATTTATAAAAATTATATATTTATATTTTAAATTCACTTTTAGAAATTTCTTATAACCTAAGTTGAATATATATGTACACTATGAGCCAATAAAATTTGAAATCGGTTCAATAGTTTGGGCGTCCATCGCGAACCAACATCGTGACGCGAGGTTTATATATATACAGAATTTATGGAAATTTATAAAAATTATATATTCATAATTTTAATTTAGTTTTCAAAATTTCCTATAAACTAAGTTGGATATATATGCACACAATGAGCCAATAAAATTTAAAATCGGTTCAGTAGTTTGGGCGTCCATCGCGAACCAACATCGTGGCATATATATATATATATATATATATATATATATATATATATATATATTGAAATTGTTATATGAGAAGTAATGCGCTTAGTGGGGTTGATACTTCGCTACATGCACTGCAGACCAGCAGAAAAACAAAAGTATTTTTAAAAATAATAATCCTCGGACCTATTTTCTTTGAATCTAAAAGGAATAACATTTTCGACTTTGAGACTTGAGAAAATATTAAAATCCTGTTTGAAACATTTCCTTATCCCCCTATAAGGCAAACGCGAATTTCCATCCTCTTCTGTCTCGATACTCTGCTTAGAATTGCGTCTCTGCTCCACCCACGTGTGTACGTCGTTCCGCGGAAAAGACAGCCTGGCATTATATGTATGTATGTATGTAACAAATCCTCTTAGTTTGTTTCTATTAAATTTTTGATGACATCGGGTACATCCCTCGTTTCTCAGGAACTGTTATCTCCGGTGACCATAGGGGATCCCGAAGGTGAACGAAACTGTGATGCGGAGCAAAAGATTCAGACCTTGAGGTGATGGATGATCAGGAAGATTTTATTTTGTATCGATGCAAATAAGTGATGTATATGGTTGTGCATTGATTTGCATACTTTACTTGCACTAGCTAGCAATCTACACATATCATTCGCATATTAGATCAAATTGCTTCATTCCTGTCACACAAAAATTGCTATACTGTATTTTTTTTATAAAAAGTCGTTTTTAACTTCTCGTAGGGTAGTTATAGTAATGACAATAAAATCTAAAAATAATATTTATATATATCCCTACGTTTCAGAGGTTTCTGAGCATTTTGGCATACCTTAAAAAAGAGTGCGCGTAAGGTTTAGACGCGATTAAGTAAAACTTATTTGCTACTGTACAAGATGGCATTTAAGTATAAATAAATATCCTATAACTATCCTATAATTTAAGTATAAATAAACATCATATAACATTTTTTATTAATGCTTATTAGTAATATGGTAACACTCGTGATGCACACATTTATTAGTGTAAACCATTATACACATTTATATAATGATAAATTATAAATTATACTTTTATAATATTTAAAAATATGTATAATATTTAAAAACAATAATATAATTAAAGTCATACTTCAAATATCATATGATCGGTTTGTCATTGTAATTAGCATTTTGAAATGAACCTTCATTCCAAAAATGAAGTAATTGCTGATTAATAAATTTTAAAATATTCGTTCACACAGTGGATATGTTAAACAACGCCTAAGCAAATATTGTTTTCGCAACTTCACTCATCATGTAATTGTGTTTGAAGAACTTCATGTAATTAAAATTAACATGCATTCATTGACTGCTTGTATTTCTTTTACTTTTTTGTTGGTGATATAATCTCATTCTTTGATATGATATAATATCTGTTTTGCTTGAAAAATATTCCTTGTTGATATCGGTATGCATACAACGTTGATGCTGGTACGTATACAACGACAGTATTCTATTCACATACACGACGAGTAATCACAATCACAAATGATCTCATCGAGAGCGAATGACGAACAACTCGGGCGTAACGGACTTCCGTTGCATTTGTACTGATATACACCCTAGTCGCGCCTAAAGGAGCTTTACTTCAAAAGGCATTTTGTTTACATTTCTATGGATTCCGTACCAACGTTTATCCGTTGCAATGTTACTGCGATATTTTGTCTTTACGCAGCGCGATTGCTTTGAAAAAAAGTACAAAATTTAAAAAAAAAATTAAATATAAAAAAATCCAATTTTTTAAAAAGTCTTTATTTTCAAAAATTTCAAAGCTCTCAAAAATCTATCTGTTTAGTTTCCAAATAACTTTGAAGCTTTTTTAAAAATTGTAATTTTTGGTTCGAGAAGCAGACATGATGCCATGCACTACTAGTTCTTAGTATTAATAAATAATGTTAAAAATAGCATAATAATATCATTACTATTTAAAATAAATTATTTATTATTAAGTAGAACGCGAAGTTTTATATCTATCTTTCGATGTCCGAGGGTCATTCTCCTTTTTTTACTTTGAATAAAGAACTCAAGCGCGCATCAAAGCTGAGCTTAGAGCAGTAAATTTACAGATAATATGACGGTAATAGGCGTAACAACGTTATCTAGTGATAACATTTTTAATAATAAGTATTATTAGAATTAAGTATTTCTTTTATGTTCAATACATGCCAAATACTAACTGTTTTCATCCAAGATAAAAGTATTCATGTGGTGCTCAAAAATTATCATTCAATTTCTGACTGAAATAAAGAAATGCTAGTAGATTAACTCGATTACATTAATTAAATTCATTTTGCAGTAAGTATAAATCACTTATAAGGATTTACCAAATATCAAAAATTAACTATATGTATAAATAATGTGAAACAAATCTAGATTAACACTTTGGTATTTTTTTCACAAAATATAAATTATATGAATGTGAAAACAATCGATTACAAATATCCCGATTAGTTTTTCATCCCAATGAAATATTTGGACAAATTTTTTAATAAATAAATAAAGTTAATAATTATTTTATCATAAATTTGCATAGATTGTACTTTTAAATAAAACAAGAAATTTGGCAGTAGTTTTTTTTAAACCATTTTCAAAAAAAGTAATTTGGCAAATATATGAAAATATTATCGAGTGAGATATTTTAATAAATTAGTGACAATAAATTAATAAAGTTATTAAATATCAATTAAATATATTACCTAAATTCAATACTGAAATAAAAATAGATATTTTAGCTAAAATGTACGAAAGTATCATTAGAGTTTACTTAAGATATAATGCAATTCGTCATATTCTTAAAAAAATATATTAAAATAAAAATGACAAAATCAAAAATTTGTAAATGACAAACGCAGCTAACGTATAAAAATAAAAGCAAAATGAGACACTCAGGTCTTAGTAGTTCTTTGTGCAGTATACATCATTAGGGAAAATTTCTGACTTGCTCCGGCACTCATAACCTCCGTAATTGAAGCAGGAGAACCTGGACTCACATGTGGGAAAAATTCGTTTTCTTTTTGCAATTTCACACCATCGCGTTTTCTTCTGAAATGATAATAATAATAAATTTATTGACATAGTCAGTCATCAACAGCCAGAAGTAAATAGATATCGTTTATATATTGGCAAAAAATACAGACCGGGAATCAACAAAGTTTCTTACATGATTTTTTATATACAAATATTTACTAAATATATTTTTCATGTATGTGATTTTAAAATTATTCAATAAAATACCTCTAATAATTTGAATGAAGTTGGAAAGCTTGCATTTTGCAGTTTATGAAACAAAGCATTACTCGTTTTTTTTATAAGTTATGGGTTGGGTATTAATTACAAAAATCAGTTTTAATGTATAATGTTAGAAGCGATTGAAAACACACATTGTGATTCAGTTGAATGCTACTGCTTCTAAATAATGATAAAATAGAGGATTGCGAAAAAAGTTGTAATCCACAAATAATAATAATAATATTATTATCAAAGTCTTAGGGTATGAAGTGAAAGTATCATTTAGAAGCAATTCATTCCAGGTAGCCAAAAGTGTCAAAATATTATTCTAGGGTAAATCAAATTTTTATAATTATTTGTTTCTATACCTTAGTTTTATGTAAAGAGATGAAACTAGACACCATACTTTGCAAAAAAACTATTGTGTCATTCCATCAAAGGCATATGTGATATTTAATACTATGTATTTAATTTATCATAATATATTTAATATTTGTATATTATCATTAGATATATATTTTTACCTGCGTAAAACTAATGATTCGTAATCATCACTCAAAGTCCCAGGTAAAGCGGCGATGATGGTGCAGCGACGTTCGTGAATTCCATAGCGCAAGCGGCACATATCCAATAATGCGACCACACGGCGATGAAGCTCTTGAATCGTACTAGAATATGAGAAACATAGTTTAATAATTTCATATTTTTGTTATTTCAAAACGGGTTTTTGATTGATAGAATAATATTGAATTTTTTCATTATTTTGAAACGGTCTTTATATAATTATAAAAGTTCTAGCAAAAAGTACAAGGCGTCTCCACCGGATCAAAAAAGAAAATTAATACATATTGAAAAAAACGTTTTATTGCAAATAAGATTTTTTATTCTGCTTTTTGGGAACTTAAAATTCTGTTTGCTGCCAAAAATATCGAAATTCCATTTTTGTTCCTAATCCTAAAAAGCGAACTAGCCATGAATGCTAAAACAATAGATAGAGAAGAGATATATCTATCGAAACTATTATTTTTGGATCTAAATATCTACATGCTATCAATATCCAAAGCATCAATATTTTATCTCAAAATTTAAATTATTTTTTTATATAATTTCTTCTCTTCAGGATTAGGCATATGTATTTTAAATAAAGCGGCACAAAATGAAATTTTAATTTTAATTCATACCAGTTTCCTAATTCGTTCATGTAGACTCGTCTTCCGTAGCGAATTCGCCTTTGGCCTCCGGATCCGCCATACAGCAGCGTTAAGTCTTCCGGTTCTTTGGGAAGACCGAGCAGAGCGACGGGAATCGAGGGAACGCGACATGTACACACGTATATTTGACGTGCACCTTAAAAACATTTTTTTATTTCAATCAAAAACAAACTAATGGTGCCTTAAGGCAAATTGCTGAAACGTCTCAAATCACTATTAAATATTCAAGGAAAAAATTCAGTAATAAATGAATATTGATTAATCATTAATAACATTTTATTTCAAATATATATATATATATATTATATATTATCGTTAATTTATTATAGAGTGATGATTTTATAGCAAAAAGCACTTAAAAATGTTTACAATAACAAGAAATGCCGAATAAATCCATTTGAGGATATCTTTCTTAATATTAGAATAATGCTCGTGAATGTATTCATTTTCAAAGTGAATTGTAAATTCAAAATTTATATGAAAAATTTTGTATATTTTTGAAAATTTAGATAAAAGAATTCTGAATATTTTGAAAGTTGTTTAAACCGTATAAGCAAAGTAAATTTTATAAATTAAACATCTTGATGAATTTATTCAAATGTAATGGCCTCGTTTAGCTGAAATTTCTATTCATAAACGTTCACTAATTTAGATATATATTTTTGTCGTAGTGACAAGAAGGAAAGGGAAATCAGGTGTTTATAATCAATTACTACCATAAGTAATTATTATAAATCTTAACTTATGAATTATAGATGCAGGAGATTTTTATTCTAAAAATTTTATTTTTATTTTTGACTGTATTTTCTTTTCAAAATTTGGAAATTTGTATAAAATACTAAATCGTATCAAAGTGGAAGATAAGTCATATATAATTGGGTATCCGAGGACAGTAAATAAATCGGATCATATGGGCTTTATTTTTATGTTTACTCTTGTGTATTTAGTTACAGTCAAAGGGAATATCTTTTCCAAAGGTCTTACATTCAATATGAAGATATAGAATAAGAAATATATAAAAAGGACACACGTGTTTGTTGTGAAAGCTGAAAATAATGGGCAAATAGAGACTTTTATTTGTGTACATAAAGATGCACAATATTCTATTGAAGGTTTTTATATATTGGAAAATAAAATGTATATAATTGCGATTTATTTGTGAAATCATACAAATTCAATAAAAATTAGGCTTCGTGAAATCATAACCTTTGAGTTTGTGTAATATTATAGGAAAAGTTTAATATGATAAAATAAATGTGATAAAAATCATTTTCATACTTGCTGTTGAAATATCATTGTGAAGCTTCTGAATTAGTTGAAAAGTTCCAGCATCTCTTAGAAGGCCATTGTATACTACAAATATAAAATTAAGGATAACCCAAAGTCTTATTAGAAATTTTGAAAAACTCGAATGACGTTTCTTGGCATCTGAAAATTTGACAATTTGATAAGTTAATATTGGCGTCAATGTATAAGTATTTTTAAATTATATTCCAATCATCACTTGTAATTTCTTTGTCCTCTGTAGATTTTGTTTGTTCCTGCTTCTGTTCATTGCTCGGCTGTTTGGTTGGTTGTGTATTATAATGATGATAATATTCAAAAATATCACAATTCAGGAGAACAAATAATGGTAAAACTGGAAGTAGGTAGTGGTCTTCTTTTGCTCCTAATCCAAATGGTGATAGAATCGCCATTAGAAATATTGGACCAGCAGAACACCATGTGAGAAATGCTTCCATTCGTTTGCCGGCGAAATAATTTTTCCTCACCAGAAGACTAATAATTTAAGAATAAAAATTGTAAAAAAGTAATTGAAATATTAATTAATTTTTTTTAATTATGAAATTTATCGTGAGCAAAATTCTTAGATTTCTCATAGAGATTCATGAGAGTAAATTTGTGCTTTTTTTAAACAACGTTTTTCAAAACCTTTTGCATATTGGTCAGATGGGTCAAAAATATAACAAATAAATAAAATGAGCAATTTTAGAAATAATTGGTCAATTAGCATGATTTGTAGATTCATAATTTCTTTTGATTATATCCAACAAAATTTGAAAACAATTGATTCTCCAAAAATGAGTCCTAACAATCTACGTGGAACATGCTATGATCTGCATTTTGTTATGTTATGATAATTTGCAATTTCCATATCACAACGGTGATACGATAACAATGATTGGAGGAATATTGATTGTCACAAAATTTGTTATAGTTATGGAATCAATTTGGAAACAAAATACAAGAATATCCAACAACATTGATATATTGATTGATTATTATGATAATTATGATATTATGATTATGATTTCTTACAAAATAGTAGTATTTATGGATCTCCAAATAGCTACGATCCCAAGTATGTTGAAAAGGCATATCGCATTCCAAAATGGGACCCAAGGTGGTCTAGGGTCACTACCATCCACTGCAGGTTGATTCACAAATGCAATGGGTTCATTATATGGTGATGGGGCTCCATAATATAACGTATCTACCCCTGACAAAATTATACAGGGTGGAGCAGCACCCAGAGCCAAAGATAATGCACGTTTTGCGAGAGTAAATGCCTTAAAAAAATTAATTGTATTAAAAAATATTATTCTTCGACTTCAAGATTTTACTGTCTATATTGTTTAGTAGTATCTTACGCAATATTTCTAGAAATTGTGAATAATTATGCATAATATTATTAGTAAATTTATCGGTTGCTATAAATATTTTTATTTTCCCACTCACTACAGATGCGTTTCCCAATTCATTTTTCTCGCTTTCCGTTCGTAGCATCCAAGCAATTATTGGAAAAGCCGCAAAAATGGCAAATCCGGGCCGATTGAAGTAACCGCAAACCGCCAAAGCGGCAATCGGCATTGCTGTCGCAAATTCATTCTGGGTGTAAGAAATAACTTTCACCTCATCTTCTTGAATAATAACTGTACTTGAGTTGGAGTGGCATATAGAACGCGTTACCTGAAAATTATAAAAGATATGATAATATTATATACATATTCATGCGTACTGCGCACGCATATGGTGCGTGAGACCATTGTCAATAGCTAGAAGACCAACGGAACAGGTGCGTTGGCCTTTCTTGCATTATAGTGCAGTATTTTTAGTAAAATAAAATTAGAATTTGGCATACCTTAGAAAAAATGGATGTATGTGCGTGTGTGTTTGTGTGTGTGTTTGGATACATTTTTTATCCACGATTTCGAACGCACGAATCAACCGATTTGAATGAATTAAAAAACAATCGATGTCTATTGATTAGAAGACGTGCTGATTAGTTTTTGGCAAAGGCAGGTTCAGCCATTTCAAAGATACGGGACAAAAAGTGCCAAAACTGGTAATTTTCTTTTTGGGATAACGGTTTGAATGATTCAATAAGCATTTTGCTTGTATTGATGGAATAAAGAATTGGTAAAATTTTTAGTAAGGTCTAGCAATTTCGAAGATACAGAAAAAAGTAAAAATAATGATATTTGGCGGTCAAAAATGATCATCAGATATATGCATATCAAATTATCAGATATCTTAGAGATTTTAAATATGTGGATTTTCTTGGGTTCCGTACCAAGATTGTTAATTTTATTTACTTATACGGTTCAAGCAAGTTTCAAAATTTTCAGAAAAAAAAATTCAAAATTTTCAAAAATGTACAAAGTTTTATACTTTAAATATAAATTTCAAATTTACAATTAAGTTTGAAAATGTGTATATTTCAATCGCGTTATTCTAATCGTAAGAAATATATCCTCAGATGGATTTATTCGCCACCTCTTGCTAATGTAAACTTTCTCAAGTGTTTTGAGCCATAAGATCCTCACTGTATATTTTATGAACGGTAAAATATATAGTGATTATAAATATCTACTTAAAAATATTTAAAACAATTGTTATTAATCATCGATCGATTTATTGATTTAGACTTTTATCGCTCGAATATTTAATTCTGGTACGGGAAGCTCCAGCAATTTGCCTTAAGGCACGATGCCATACACCACTAGTTTTTTATTAAGATTGATATAAATAAATTGCCATACCTCATAAACAAGAGCAGTAAAAAGGTACATTTCCAATGCTCCTGTTATTGTACGCGTTCCATAAATTATCATAGCTCCTGATCCAGCTAATAATGTCAATCTTCTAACTCTGTAAGAGACTGCCTTCGGATTATTTTGTGTTATTGTATCATAAATTCCAATCATGCAATAATCAACCAAAAAAGACAAAAGGCACATCAGTAGCCTTGGTGCTACTAGTGTGGAGTAAGGGGTCACAACTTGAACTGGAAATCCGGATATGTAACTCAGGGCGGTTTGAATGTACCTAAAGATAAGATAAATAAAACTGAAGGGTAACAAAATATTTTAGCTTTTTTATGATATAAAGAACGTTTAACTCTATAATATCCATAACTTATTATATAATTAGATATTTACTTTAGTAAAAAAAGTGGTCCTCCAATCAAAGCCAACGGGAAGAAAATATGACGATTTGGAACGCCTTCAGCGTCTATTCGCCATCCTCTTGCTGAATCTACGCCCAGTGCATCACCTAGTTTGTAATATTTTAGATTTATCGAATACTAATCAACCTGAAGATGAATACCATAAAAACTATCTAGTAAAATGTACTAGCAAAAATCGTGTCATTATTCGGTTTTTGACTTTTTACTCAAAAAATTTTAATAATAAATTTTCTTAGTATTTTTTATTTTACAAATTTTATTAAATGCGCCATTTTTTATGAAATTTATCTAAAATCAATTGATTTAAAAAAATTTAAATTCATAGTTCAACAAAAAGTATTAAATTCTTAAACTTAGAAGCAATTTTGTTATTGTTTTTGATTGTAGATCTAGATTATTTACGGTTACGGTTTCAAAGTTTAACCAAAAAACCGAAAAATAGTCATTGTTCGAGCCTCACAAATTTTATTCATCCATCTTTGTCTACCTGACATGATAAAATAATTTCCTACCCTAGTATAGGTACTAAGCTAGTTATAAGAAATTATTCATTCTGTATGTATACCTTGACCCGATAACATCTAATACGACTAACTAAAATTAAATATAAACAATTTATGAACTAGTTATTATTTTCCATTCAGTTCTATGTTATTTTAGGTCTGATATAGCCTTTTTGATAATTAATTATATCTGGTCCTTTGAGGTAATAAAGTGTCCGTGTGTAGTGATTTTTTAATTGACTTTTTAATAAACATTGTACCGGGCGCTTACAGTCATAATTTTACCAAACCTCTAGGTAAAAGCTTACAATTTTCACACAAAATATGGGACTCCCTGTATATCTATTTGTAATATTTGATAATATTGACTATATTTTGTTGTTGATCAATGAATATATATTTTTTTAACAATTTTCTGAGATTAAAAAAAATTAAATATTTTTAAAAATTTATTTTATTGCGCATTTTTACTGCGTCAAAATCTTCGCATAACCGGGGTAAGCGAATATCATATAGTTTTACCGCAAAACTTAGTCTTCTCAAGAGAACTTTCTCGTATATTGTGTAAATCTTGGCATAAGAAGCGGTTTTAACTTAAACTAGAATGTTATCTTGAAAAAATAAATAATACAATAGTTGTTTAAGTTAGTTGTTGCATTCGATGTATCTCGAGGACCAGCCGAGCCGTGTCTTTGTAAATAGCAGTAAAAAGTAAAAAAAATTCGTTCACGTTTTGCCCACAATTCTGCATTTAAAAATTTATCAGAATTTGAGAAAATAAGTAGTTTTTTATGTTTGCTAAATTAAAATTAGACGATTTTCTTGGAATAACGATAGAGTACTTGCTCTTAAAGAACATACTGAATCATTAAAGTCCTACGGAAACTGGTTCGATTATAAAAATTGTTGATTTTTGAAAATTTGTTTTTAGAAAATACTCCAAGTTAACGTGTTCGTTCGTTTTCAAATATGTGTAATAAATCCACTCGGAATACGTTTCATCACCCATAAATTAATTTATTTTTATTGATCAAGTCGATTATTTACACATTTCGGAAAGTTCATGTAACTTACCTTAAGGCAAAATACCAATACCAACTAGTTATATATTCTATGTCTAGAGTGTAATAATATTAGTACTTAAAAATCAATATAATTTTGAAACGTATACCTGTATGTAGGAAGTAGGATTTTACGATTTTGCGTATCAAGCATATAAGAATAATGATGATCGTTACCATCTCTTATTCAAGTATGTGATTATCCAACAAAAGAATTCCCAAAACAAAATAACAAGCGCTAACCAGCAGCATCCTCGAAGGAGTCAAAAAATTCATCCTTATGCACGTATCCTGTCTGCGGCAGGAACACTAGAATCACGCGTACTAGAGCCAGCAGGAAATATCTATCGTATTCTGTTCTCAAATACTTCTTCACAAAAGCCAGAGCTCCAGGGAAACTGAGGTATTTATAAAGTTTTGCCATAGTAACAATTTAGAATTTTGAACAAGCTTTTATATACACTTTCAAATAATAATATAAAAATGCTGCGATGCCATTTTTGAAAAACGTTATAAAAATTTGTTTCGAATTTTCGAAAGGCTACTATGATTACACTGCGTGACAAAAATGGCACTTTTATTTTTTTCCTCGAACTTTTTTTTGTAAAACTACTAGTTAGAATTGCACGCTAATTTCAAATATACCTCTAATTTTTCTTAACAGTTTTAGTTTTTGAGTTTTAGGAAACCTACTTCAATTAGTCATTTCGGTCATCACAGTTTAACGAATAAATAAGAGTTTTATTAGTCCAGTAATTATAGTAAAATCACCTCGGAATTTGAGATACGCAGCTGTAAGTCTGTAAATACTGTATATTTACACCCTAAAAGTTGTCTCAAAACTTACATATGGTAGGGTGTACGCAACATATATAGGTTTTAAGACAACTTTTAGGGTGTGAATATACAGTATTTACAGACTTAACTAACTTAAGCTTAACTAATTTAAGCTTAAATGACTGGACTATATCTGCTGTTTTGGTATGGCTTTGACTGTAAGACCTTCTTTGCATAATCCAGATAGTTTTTGTTGCATCTGAGGTGACGATTGTTTCTTCTAACTTATTTGATAATTATCGGTAGATTAGGAGGCAATCAGTGTTTCATTGGAGATTGGTTTTAATGTTTTCATTTCCGCGATAAATGAGTTAATGCAGAATCTTTCAAATAAGATTCCAATTGGAATATCACAACGTTTTTCTCAGCCAAAAAAGATAAAAGTATTTTTATACTCATTCGGAAGTGCAAAAGTTTTCATTCATGTTTTATCCCAAAATTCTGATCCGATTTTAAAACTGTTCAAAAGAAATCAGTTGGAAATATAATTAGTTTCTAGTTAGATTGATATATTTGATAGCATATAATTGTTGAATTTTTTTTTTACTTTGATGAAAATTTTTATGCAGTTTATGGTCTTAACAAACATCCCAAAAAAACACCATGGGACCAAAAATGTGGTTTAATTATAAAAATTCATTGAAATTTGGAATAATGGACTATGTGTTTTTGCAACTTGCCTTAAGACAAAATACTGCCAACACCTAATTTGCTATTAGTATTGATTTCGTTTATCCCTCACAATATTTCAAATAAATACAAAATAAAATAAATTTACGTATTAAGTATAATATATATAATTTATTTATTTACAATGTATTAACTATATAATCCTGATACAAATTCTTTTATTTTGTTTCTGCATTTGCTTGAGCACTTCGAGCAGGCGATGAAATTAGTCCTAAAAGTACTGCATCAGCTTCTAATATTGTCAAATCTTTTTCAGATCCCAAAAATCTCGTTGATAATTCAAGATCTTTTACCCTAAGCCTGACACGTGCACCACGAACATAATCTCTGAAAATGAAATCGTAATAGAAATACAATTTTAATTTAATTTAAATACAATGAAGTAACATTCAAAATATATTCAAAAGCGAATACATACTCGCTATTTTTCTGAGGTCTAGAGCATACAGCATGGAATTTCCAACCAAAGTCTATATATAGATCGTCACCGACTATGTGGTATATTTTACCAGTCACTATTTTATCTGCAGGATCTCCAAGCTATAATAGATAAAAATACTATTAGACAATTATGAATGTTATAATACAATATTGATTACTACACTCATTGAATCATAAATTAAAATATCTCTTATATTTATATCTAATAGTAGACGATACAATTAATATCGATATAGATGGAATCGAAACAACAAAATCATATGCATGTAACGTGCAATATACGATTAAGATATAAATGCAAAATGCACGTGGAATTAATTTTATTGTAATGATGGAATAATATATGAGCATTATTCTGATAACTTTTTGATATGTATACGAATTCTGTTCAAGCAATCACATAAACATAAGTTAATATCACTCCTTACATCAATAAATTTAGAGTTTCTCAATAAGGCAGCGAATGTCTGCTTTTCTTCTACTTTTTCCTCGGTTTTCTCTGATGTATACTTTTCAAAAGCTTGTGCAAAGCCACCTAGTTTGGATTTATCTGTTTCACTTGGTTGTTGTGTCTCAGTACTACAAAGGCGAGATAAAACAGGCTGGAGCCTTGAACCTCGTCGATATGTTCTTAAAATTATAGACATTATTATTTATAATTTATCTCAATTGTTTCAAATTCACGGACCAATTTGTTTCCACAACTTTGAGGTTATAAATTCTGTATGAGTATTATCCTTCAAAATTTGAAATGAGAAAGTGTTGCCATCTATGACATGATCTAACTTCTCTACCAACCAGATAAAAACATAGAATAAAAATAACGAAAAAACACAAACACGAAGTTAGGCGCAAGGCGTTCAAAAATAAATGATTTAAATTTAAATTATTTAATGCATAATAATAAGTACATATTTAAATTTATAATAATAAGTACGCATGAATTATTAGTATATATAATAACATTAAATAAATGACTTCCATTTATTAAGACAACGAGCTTTTCAAAAATATTAACCGCCATGTTGTGTCCTATCTATAAAGCTCAAAGCTTCGTCCTGTGGAATACTCTATGACTCAAAGGACACGAAGTAAACAAAAACTGCTTTCTGACAGACGTAAAAACCTACTATTTTTTATTTATTTATTATCCTCATTGTAAATTAAAAATATGGAACTTGATGTTATTAAACTTTGTCGTGTTTGTTTAGAAGATGGTGCTACAATGTCCTTATTTAGCACGGATTTTGCTGTTATGCCTTCTCATATGATGTGGATGTGTGCCAAAATAAAGGTTATTATTTTTTGGTGTATATTATATGTTGATTTATTAATTTTATATGTTCATCTAGTGCATATATATTTTGTTATTGCTTGTTGTATTACATTATTGCCTATAATTGTTAAATTAATGTACAGATATGCCTAATATTTTTATGATTATAATTTTTTAAACAAAAAGGCTAATTTTGTTTAAAGACTATTAATTTAATGTATTACAATCTATTTGAATTTTTATGTATTTGATTTATTTTGTATCTTAAATGTTTAATATCATTTTCTTCTTTGCCTTTTTCAATATTTCAAATTTTTCTTTGATATTAAACTATTTTTATGTCAACCTTATTATATCAAAAATAAATATTCACAAAGTGTGGTCCACACATTTTGGAGAAATTCAATTATCTAGTATAATATATAACTATATATATGATCTATGAACTAAAATTTAATTTAAAATATATAGGTTTTGAAAGATGACGGTATGCCTCCTTCAATATGCAATAATTGCATATATCGTTTAGGTGTGGCTTACCATTTTCTGCAACAATGCGAAAGTTCTGATGCACGACTAAGGCACTTCTTAGGTTTGGAAATGAGAAAATTGTGAGTACATATACAAAGATCAATAATTATTTTTTATTATCATTTATAACTTATAATGATGTCTTTAAATATTGATAACTTATAATGATGTCTTTATATAGAAAGCTTTTTTTTATTTGAATTTTAATATAAACTTTATATATCTCAGACTGATTGAAGTCTCTGGTATTTATGTTTGTATATTAATTTAATAACTAATTTTTTTCAGAGGGCAGGAAGTAGCAACTATGACTGATGAACCTTGGCCAACGCTAACTGGAAATGGCTCCGATGAAAATTCCAAAGATAAAAAAGCTAAGAAAACGTTAGTAGTATATTTTGTATAATTATAAGTATATATAACTAAACTGATTTTGCTTATTTTCTTGGTTATTACAGGAAAACACCAAAACGTACAAGGTATAAGAGAAAAGCTCCTGATGAGTGCAAAAAACGTGGACCAAAAACATTGCCAAAAGTACCTCAGACCTGCTACGAGTGCCAAAAAACTTTCAAATGTGCTGCACAATTGCAGATGCATATAAGGTGATAAAAGATTACATTAAATTACACTTCATTTAGTTCACTTTAATTATTTATTTAAGTTCATTAATTATATTTAATGTGTTTCTTTCAGAACTCATACAGGTGAACGTCCTTTTGCTTGCACATATTGTACACGTAGGTTTGCACAAAAACATAATCTAGCCATACATATTAGAACTCATACAGGAGAAAAACCATTCCAATGTGAAATTTGCAGGTAAAAGTTATGATGTCTGCTATTACTAAAATGTTTGAATAATATATAATTTTAAAAAATAAATGACATCAACTTTGGTTATATTGTGAATATGCATATACTTATATGACAATTTTTCAATCTGAAATATTTTATATTTGCTATTTACAGCAAACAATTCTCAGCACTAGGCAATTTTCAAGCTCATCAAAAAATTCATAAAGGTATTCGAGACCAAGTATGTCCTGTATGCAATAAAGGATTCATAACTCCGGGAGATCTCAGTAGACATATGGTAACTCATACTGGTATCAAAAATCATCATTGTGATATATGTGGAAAATCATTTAGTCGTGGACGTGATATGGTAAGTAATAATAAAGCAAAAACTGTATAAAGTAACATATTTACACATAAGTATATTTATTGATATATGTTATAAATAAGCAAGTTTTAAATCAGTAGTTAAAATTTTTAATACATTTGATTACTGTATGTCTTTGCAGATGAATCATAAAAAGAAGGTACATTTAGGTGAACAAATTTCCAATAGAAAAACACAAAATCAACAAAACGAGCAGCGTAGTGAAAATGTTATCCAGCCTCCACCAGTTCACCAACATCAGCCAGTTATAAATCACCCCTTACCAATTCATCAACAAACAACAAATTTACCTTTACAACATCATAATTCAACAACATTACATCATGCCACATCGCTGATGCCACCTTTAGATAAAAATCAAGCGGTTCCAGTTGTACCATCTGCTGGCGTAGATTGTTTAAAAATGTATGATGTACAACAAGTACCTTTTAGAACCCAATTGTTAGCTCCACCGCCAAGACCAATTGCTTTGAATATTGTTAATCCTATAAACACCAGTGAGGAACCGTATTATCATAAATATCTTATGTAATGATTGGGAATATCATAGAGGAGATAACATATATTGGCTCTATTTTTAAAATGTGTATATATATTTTAGTTCTTTTGCACTATTTAATTATTATTGATCTCAGAATGCATGATCGCCTGATGATCGGTACTTTAAATACTTCATTGGATAATTATTTGATACATATTAAATATTTACTAATTATGACAAATGTGCAAGGTTTTTCCCTAAATGTTTATTCAGGAAATGTGATCTGATCTGGAAGCATTGTTGTTTACTGGAAATGTTACTGAAATACATATTTCAGTAGTTATGAATGTCCAATTTTACAAATGCATTTACTATGGAGAGCGTTGTAGATGTGATAGGTAAGGCTTTTTTCTGCGGCTGTAAATACTGAATATTTTCAAATTTTCTACAAAACTTGATTGCTAGATTAAGATTTATAGTAGTTGATTAGCATACCAGCTATCACATTGTTTCTATTGTGTGTGCATTTTAAATATAAAAACATTTTGTTTATCAATTTATGTGCTTTCATAAATGAAAACAAAATGTAGATTACCAATACTCTTGTATGAATTAGTATGAATTTGTTAAATGGTTTAATTTAGTGTTAACTCAGATTTGTAATATTTATTTGATTTAGATCTAAGCAATTAAGTAAGTAAGTAGAGATTTAAGATAGTAATAATATTAAGAATGAACAATTTGTATAAATACAGTACACTGTTGGAGAAAAAGTTTTTTTTTCTGTATTTCAAAAGTTTCATGATATCGTAATTGGTTGTTTAATTGTTCCTATTTCAAAACTTTAAAAGTCGTGTACTTTGTACAAGTATTTCCCAATGCGCACAAACAATTTATAGTTGATAAATGGTTTGCATAAAGAGCATTTTTCACAAAAAAAAACTAGTGGTGTATGGCATCGCGCCTTGAGGCAATTTGCTGGAACTTTCCGCATTGAGTTAAAATTTTGAAAATCTGAATTATTTTCGATATTCAAAAATATTTTTCACTGCAAATTAAAAAAAAATTGAAATATACAAATTTCATTTTACTTTTCCCAAAAACAATTTTTTTGTCAACACAAGCAGAAAGTATTTTGATCATCCAAATCGAATCTTATTTCTTTCAAAAACCTCCATTTTTTGCACATTTTTCTGCGGCTGGAAATTGCTTTGCCAAATACTAATCACCACTTCTCTCTTATTATGAATTGAAAGCTTTCTGAATCATTCGATTCGGATGCTCCGTTCTCTCAAAATCTCGATTTATATTTTCTGCACTCTATGCTCTGTAACTCCGAAACGACTGGACCGACTTTTCCCAAAAATTAATCAGCACATCTCCCTATCAATAGGAATCGAATGTTTTTTGAACCATACAAATCGGTTGATCCGTGCGCCCGAAAACGTGGATGAAAAATTGTATCCATACATACATACATAAATTTTTTCTAAGGTATGCCAGTTGAAGGTTTCTGAACATACCTTCAAAACGTGAAGAAATGCAAAATTTTTCAATTTCGATTTTTAGACGATTACAATAACTTGCCCTACGGGAAGTTAATATAGAGATTGAATATTAAAATCTGAAGATACAATAGTTTTTGGTAGGAAACTGTAAAATTTTCTACTCTCTCAATTTTTTTCAATCTCAGTCAGCAAATTGACTGACGGGCATGCAGCATATCAATATAATTTAAAAATGACTGACCGGATTTTGCTTCGTTATTTAAAAATTAATAAATTAATGAAAAGCGAGGTAATAATATCTTGAATCTTTAAATGTGCCAATTCAATTTCAATAGAATCAGTTTCAGATTAGGTTGGCTTTTGCAAGTACTACTAATATGACCCGAAATCATTTATATGTGACATGCTTTGCAGTGGGTAAACTATACATTATTTTTTGTTTGGTGCCTCTTTCACTTATTGGCAATCAGTTATTTTTATACGAAATATTTTTTTAACTTCTTGTAGGGCCAGTTATAGTAATCGCAAAAAATCGAGAATTTCTATATATCTTTACGTTTCAAAGGTTTTTGAACATTTTGGCGTACCTTAGAAAAAATGGCTGTGTGTGCGCGGATACAAATTTTCGTCGACGATTTCAGGCAAACATTTTACTTGTATTAATACAAGTAAAATGTTTGTCAATTGGCAAGATAAAGATTTGATTAAATTTTTGGGAAGGCAGATCCAGCGGTTATGGACTCTCAATGAAAATAAGTTAAAAAAATGTCATTTGGCGGTTAAAAATGTTTATTGGACATATGTACATCAAATTATCAGATATTTTATAGAAATTTTATTAATGTGTACACATTTGGTGTAAATTTTTCTGGGTTCCGTACCAAGATTTTTAATTAAGGTACGGGAAGTTCCAGCAATTTGCCTTAAGGCACGATGCCATGCACCTCACTAGTACTAGATTCACTTTTTATGGCAACAACTTATGTCGGGTCAACTAGTATTGCTATAATATTCGGTCTTTTTTAAATGTTTGTATAGGCTGCATTTTTTTTATAAATGTGAACTTTATCCTGTGGCAAATGCGTTGCATCGAAATGAAATTCATCGTTCTATTTCTAGAACTCGTTTAGATTCGTATGTTACACATGCTTTCACGAACACATTGGTTCGTAAATATTGAGGCTGGAAAACAAAATTAAAATCGTCCAAAGAGTCGAAGATTTTCTAGTAATGAACTGAATAAATATAAAACTGTTATAAATATTTAAAAAAAATAATTGTTACAGTATTTTATTTAAAAAAATATACCTCAAGTAATTGTTCGCAGTGCCTTCATCGAAAATATCACCGAATCTTTTCAATTGAACCCACGATTATCACAAGGTGTCTACATCAGTTCGTGCGTGTTGTCTGTTTGTTCTACAATTACGTAGTTGAATGTTTTTTTCGGGATTACTGAACATCATAAAAACACGTTAAATGATATTTTTCGGCACATCGAAAAATTAGTGGCATTGCGACATGATGCTGGAACAAAGCCGAATTATTTTAATTTGTTTTGATTGGTTTCACATCAGAGTGCGTATGAGAGTTCGATTATTTTAAAATAATAATATATTTAACTAACGAGAAAGAGTAGTTGATAGATTTTATTTTGTGATAAAAATAAAACTGATGAAATGTTGTAAAAACTTGGATCTAAATACTTTATCGCAGGTAAGCGGATTTTAGAGTTAGTTAAGCTAATCCGAGGTGGTTACACTAAATAACTTAAATATGATTTTATATTTGTGTATTAGAACTTTAGTCAGAATTAAAAATGAAATCTGAATCATTTTCGAAAAATAAAAAAAAAAAATAAAAATGATACAATTTTACTATTCAATCTTCAAAACTTTATCTGTTATATATATACTCTTCTTTTACCTATGATAATAATTATATCTTGCTTTTCTTATTCTTATATTTCGATCCATATGTTTTTTTGCTTTTAAGCCTTGTATAAAATTCGGTTTAATTCTCTTGATCATTAACTTGAAAAAATTAGCTCTTCCACCAGTTAGTCAAAATGCTCATTTAATTTTTTTAATTTTTTTTATTTGACAGTTTTCTCAATCATAACGTATCATTTTCCGATATTTAATGGGTAGTTTTAATTATATTACAAATAATTTCAAAGATTTAATTTAAATCTAAAGTATCTCATAGGAGATAATCTCTTAAATGCATTAACACCAACATCATATTGTCTTAAAAAATGTATTTTATTTTGATTGACAATAAAACTATGCAAAAAAAATCTAGAGTATTCGAAAACCCTTGACTAATTTTGCTTTTAGAAAAACCCGGGACACTCTCGTGAAAATCCGGGACTGTCCTGGCTAAACCGGGACGTATGATTACTTTATTGATTTAGTATTAAATTATTTTCTTTTCTTAATTAGGCATGATCAAGTTTGATACATCATTGGCTTTAAAATATGTAAACTGTGTTCCACAAAGCCACCAAAGAATATTAAGCAAATATTAAATGTGGTCGGATATTTACAAAATGACTAGACCTTTTTCTATTAAATTTGCTGATAGTGAGTTCTAGCGTAAATCGCTATTTACAATTTATTACAGTTGAGTTGCTATTTAATTTTATATATTTGTGATTATTATTACAATACTACCACGATATTATATTTAAATTTTTGATATTAATATTGTTTAAAACGGTTTTTCAGCAATTTATAACATAATTAATCATGGGTTTCTGACCCATATAAATTCTATTATATGAAAGTAAAAGAATATATACCAATGTAAAAGACTGTTTAAACCCACCTTTGGACATTTGTATTCGGAAATTTTTAAATTCCTAAAGAATCTTATATAATTATCTAAGAAAAGAATTACAATAGTAGAGAATAACTGTAACATTTTTTTGTGATTTTCAATTTTAATTAAATCTGTGAAGTATATTTTTCACATATGCAAAATTACTATAATATGATATTATTTATTTCAGATTATGTAAAATGTCCAATTAAGTTGAAATTTCTTAACATCTCATATCAAGTAGATATATAACAGCTGCAATGGATTTTTTATTGGGTGGTGTAGCTGCAATGGGTGCAGGAATATTTAGCAACCCATTCGATGTTATCAAGACCAGGATGCAGTTGCAGGTAAATTTTATACTGATTTTACGTCGATAATGAAAAAAATCAACATAATTTAAAATAATATTACACAACGTTGGGACCTCAGGGTATTCGTCACGAATATGTTTTTAGTTACAAGATAAAAAAACAACTTATTTCATAATAGAATATCATAAATAGAATAAACTGAATTGATCTAAATTTCGAAAACAAAGAAGAGTAAGAGTATATAGTATACTATGCAATTACTGTAAATTTTAAGCAGGTAAATTATAATGAAACCTTCAATATCGAAAGTAAATTAGAATTTGAAGTTATTGTATTTATCATCATTAATAATATCAAATGTTTGAGTATCATCAATCTAGATTTTAAATTTTTCATAATTTAATTA